AAGGGGAGAAAAGGAAAATCCCAAATGGAAAATGTGGAAAACGAAAAACCCCAAACGGAAAATGTGGAAATTTGGGGGAAAAGGAGCAGCCGGGAGAGGGGGGGGATCCCCCGAAGAGGAATTTTGGAGGAAAAGGGGATTTGGGAATTTTCGGAGGTCGAGGAGCGGGACCCCCTGAGGGCCCCCGAGGAGGAGGAGGAGGGAGACCTGAGCTTGGAGCTGTTCTCGCTGCCCCAGGGTGAGTTTGGGGGATTTGGGGGGGATCCCCATCTCTGTGACCCCAAAATGGCCCCTTTGTGACCCTATAACTGCCCCTTTCTGACCCCAAAACTTCCAGATGAGACCATCGAGGACATCCCAGAAAATGAGGACAACGAGGACAACGGGGACAGCGGAGTGACCCCAAATCCAGCGGGATCCATCCCCTCCGCCCAGCCCAGTGAGATCCGGGATTTGGGGGATTTGGGGGAATTTGGGGGAATTTGGGAATTTTGGAGGAATTTGGGAATTTTGGGGAGCGAAAGCTGTGGCTGCCGTGTCCTGATTTCTCCAGGAATTTTCCTTCCTTTCCCTTTTTCCCTTTTTTCCCCTTTTTTTCCCATTGTCCCCAGGTGTCCCCGCACTGTCCCCCGTGGTGTCCCTGCTCCGTGATGGCCTGTCCTGGATCTGTCACTGTCCCCATTGTCACTCTGTCCCCATTGTCACTGTCCCCATTGTCACTCTCTGTGTCCCCCAGGTGTCCCCGCGCTGTCCCCCGTGGTGTCCCTGCTCCGTGATGGCCTCTCCTGGATCTGTCACTGTCCCCCGGGCTCCCTGTCCCCATTGTCACTCTCTGTCCCCATTGTCACTCTCTGTCACTCTCTCTGTCCCCCAGGTGTCCCCACACTGTCCCTCGTGGTGTCCCTGCTCCGTGATGGCCTCTCCTGGATCTGTCACTGTCCCCCAGGGTCCCTGTACCGCCGCCTGTGCCAGCTGCTGGCGCTGGCCCTCGGGGACAGGGACCCGCTGGCGGTGGCGGCGCTGCTGGCAGAGTCCCTGGGTGTCACCGCGCGTCACCAGCTGCTGGCCAGCGCCCGCGCCCGCCAACGGTGGGTGACAATGACAGCGGGGTGGGGGGGTGGCACTGACTGGGGTCACTGTCAATGTCCCCATTGCTGTCCCCGGCCTAAATCCCCTTGCAGTGTCCCCATCCCGGTGTCCCCACCCCAATGTCCCCATCCCAAATCCCCTTCCAGTGTCCCCATCCCGATGTCCCCATTGCTGTCCCCGGCCTAAATCCCCATGCCGATGTCCCCAATATCCCCATCCCACTGTCCCCATCCCAATGTCCCTGTCCTGCTGTCCCCATTGCTGTCCCCATCCCAAAGTCCATCAAGGACATCCCAATCCCCATCCCAAACCCCCTGGGGCGGGGCTGATCCCAAATCCCCAAATCCCCAAACCCCAAATCCTCACTTTATGGGATTTTTGGGGTCATTCCCCACAGGAAGCAGCGCAAGGAGGCAGCAATGGGAGGAGGCGGTGACGGCTCGGAGCAGCTGTGGGGCCGGGACCCTCTGCCACCCCAAACCCAACCCCAAACTGAACCCCAATCCCAAATCCAAACCCAAACCCAAACCCAACCCCAAATTCTCGACGAGCTCGAGGAGCTTTTCCAGTTCGGCCCCGCGGGGTTGGAGCCGCAGCGGTTCCGGGAGCAGCTCCGGGAAATTCCCGAAGGTCAGTCCCAAATCCCAACGAGAAACCCCAAACTGCCCCGGTTTTAGGGTTTCTTGGGGTGCAATTCCCCAATTTGGGATGTCCCCAGGTGTCACCGTGGTCCAGCTGTCCCTGGCCAGTGCCACCCCCGATGGTTTTGGGGCCGCGCTGCTCCTGACGCGCCTGGAGAGGGACAGGGAACCGCTGAGCGTCCGCATCGGGACCGGGAACGGACGGGTCAGCGGGGTTTGGGGTGCGGGGTTTAGGATTTGGGATCGTTCTCATCCTCCTCTTTTCCTTTGGGATTTGGGGTTTGGGGTTTGGGGTTTGGGATCGTCCTCATCTTCCTCCTTTCCTTTGGGATTTGGGGTGCGGGGTTTGGGATCATCCTTGTCTTCCTCCTCTCCCTGGGACCCGCAGTGCCCAGGACTGGGATCCCAAATCCCCAGCCCCAAATCCCCGATCCCTGATCCCAAATCCCTGATCCCATTCCAGGCCCCGTTGAGCTCCATCCTACAGGAACTCGACCTGATCCAGCGGGGTCAGCGCGAGGCCAACGGGGTCACGGACCGTCAGGAGTGGTGGGAGCGGAGATTGCAGCTGGACCAGCGCATGGAGGTGGGGAGACCCCAAAAACCCCAAAAACTACGGGAAAACAACGGGAAAACGGGGCTGGGACACCCTAAAAACCCCAAATATGGGATAAACTACAG